AAAAAAAAAAAAAATGATACTGGTAAAAACTAAACGTTTCTGAAACTAACATTAACACATTTGGTATCCCTGCCAATATGTGGCAAACCAATTGTATTGCTACCGGAATGACATCGGTCTAAGTTGTACCAAAAATTCAGCTTAATTTTTCTCATACGATAGACACATATTGCAGATTTGCTGCCACTGCTATCGGTGAACGTTGCAAATACCGTATCATCGATCAGCGTCGCCGTTGTCACTCGATTAAAACTATGATTATCTTCACCGATACATCGTAAATCAATTTCACTGTACGACACATATCTAAATCATACTTTAATGATTAAAATGTCAGCCTTCAACAATCAATTACGTGTAAAAAGCTAAGAATTACGCTCCAACTGTATCTCGGTTTTTCTGTATCCAAAAAGCCTCAAACATTTCCATCAAAAATATATAGTACGCCAAAAAAGAAAATTCATACCGAGTATCATTTTTGCAAATCCGGATTAATTTTGATGTCTCAGTTTTTTGCGGCAATAACTTTTGCACAATTCTTTTGTTCTCCTGATGTTCCACACTTATAAAGTAGACAAATTGATGGTGAAAAAATGCCGCAATATAGTCAACTTTTAGGGTTCGCCGATACTCATAACGAATATGGACGGCAGCTTCACCTTCAATGGAACCCGCATTTATTGTATTATAATTTGGCGGCTCTCGTGAACATACAGCCGGCATTGATTCCCTATAATTAACAACAACACCAATACATCGCCTAAGTAAATGCTCATTTCTTTTTTTTTCCCTTTTCCAACAGCTGTATTTTTCAAAAGATCAACAGACAAACAAAAAATAAGTATAGTTTAAGAAAGGTAAAAATAAGACAAAATAATATATACAATAAATCATTTTTTGTTGCTGTAACCTTTAATTTGCTATCTTTCTTTCCTTCTTTTTTCTTTTCCCTTATTTTCTGGATGGCTTATTCAATGACATTTTGTAAATTAGATGATCAGTGGTTTTCGCGTACAGAAATTGCTAATCGTATAAAAATATACAGTCAAAACAAAGAAAAAAACTACTCTTTTCACAATAATTAACCAAATTGCTCAGTGAAATAATAAGATTAAAACTATCTTCAATAAAAAAATCTTTCTATTTTTAATTCTCCATATATAACTATACTTAGGAATAATACTTGAACTTTTTTTACTGCAAC